CTCTAATTTCTAACCCTAACCCTAACTAATCTTAGGACCGGTGATGATCACCAGTGGTGATATGTAGTAATTTTCTTATATATATGCATGTCTATTTATTGTCCGGAGCGAAGTATAGGACTCATACTTCTATGTTAAGTGATAACTGAAACTACGTTTTTGATATTTCATATCAAAATTATCAAAAACGTAATTGTGGCATTTTCCGTCTGTAATGCCATGTATCTATATTTGCATCTTTAGTGCAACAATAACACATGTTTGTGCCATGAGCTAATTTGAATCAATTACCCAGATAACTATTGTATTTTTATTGATGATGATAGTATGCAATAGAACATGCCCTTTAGACTTACAACCAAATGAAATGATTTGGAAGATATGCAATGGTAAGTACTTATGTTCTTATTTTTTAAATAATACCACAAATGGAATGATTTGACACATATTATTACATTGGAGAAAAGTATTTCTGTTCTATATTTATACCTTTGTTTTGCCAATCTTAATTTTAATAATTAATAATATTTTGCTAATGCTTTCAATGCCAACTAACTTAACCATTACTTTTTTTAGAAATTTTTACAGTAACTCTCAATAGGAATCATAAAAATTTTCAATACAACTAACTTAACCATTTTTCACATTTATATATGCTTAATTTAGTTATTGGAATTTAGGTAAGCTATTTAAGTTTATAGACATTGTTATAACTTGTTGAAAACTGGTTAACTGTGACTAATATAACTCATAGCTTATAAGAATGGACAGGTGAAAATAAGCTGTTGATAATTGTATTAATAACTTCATAAGCTGTGAAAGTATAATCAAATAGATTCTTTGCGTAGTGTGCAATATTAAACTGTGCTTTTGGGTTATATCTTCAGTAGATTTAGTATTTATTTGTATCTTTATCTTTAGGTCTATTCAAACTCTTATTAGAAATACTTATACTATTCAGATAATATTATTCAATTTTGATTGACCACCTGAATTTCCACCCTTGACAGATTTCAAGAACCATTTAAAGCTTTCTTTTCTCTTTAGATCTTCAGAAGATCATTATTGCAAACTTTTGTATAAGTATTACAATTGGAATAGAAAGATAAATTAAATATCTTGTACTATATAATTTTGGATCTTGAATTGATTCATTTATAGAAGCTCGTTTATAGAGATTTATACAATAGAAATATTTTGTATCTTGAGTTGCAATACCATATTTTGGACTTTTAAAAAAATAAAAGAATAAGAATTTTGTAAAATCCTGCTATATATAGCATTTGAGGTTTTGATGAGTCAATCATATACTGGATGTTCTATAGAATAGGTGGGCAATATAAAAAATAAGCTCCGCCAAGAATTAGTAATAATTAATAAATATTTAATGAAGTTGCGGAGTTTGCAGAGTTTGCCCACCTATTCTATAGAATATCCTAAATTGGCTACAAAATTTATAAATAAAAACTTTAATAAATGATCTACTGTAACAGAAATTATTAAAATAATCACTTTTTAGTTAAACAAAATAAATCAAATATGTGAAAATAAGGTTTTATAATTGTATTAAAAAATTTCAACTTAAGTGACAGATGTATAGATATAATCGAGTATATATATTTTTTCCAGCTCTATAGTAAAATTCAACTTTACTTCAGAAATTTCTACTGGGCAAGAGCATTTGATGAATCTCTGTTTAATAGTAATCTTGTATCAATAGACTTAAACATTTAGGTCCTGATTATTATATTAAATTAGCTATGAAATCTATAGATAAAGACTTTGATAAATGATCTACCATAACAAAAATTATTAAAATAATTACTTGTTGGTTAAATGAAATAGATCAAGCATGTGAAAATAAGGTATTGATGATTGTTTTTTTCCAGCTCTATGATAAAATTCAACTTTATAATTCAATTACATATGGTAGTCACGTATCATGCTAGTGATAGATAAATTATAAATAAATAACATAATATAGAATGCATTTTAATAACAAAATAGAATAGTTAAATAAAGTAAATTTAATTAAGCAGAAAAAGGCAATAAGTTGGCTACTTAATTGTGATATAAAAAATTGAAATAATAAAATTTTATACATAACCTGAAGTGTATAAAAATCTCTACTAATAACACTACAAAATGGCAAATAATGTGTAAAGGCTACAAAACAAATACCAAACAGTTTCTCATCATCATTAATACAAATCTTTACCTGTTTACTATAAATTATAATATGAAATTGATAAAAATTTGAGAATTTTGCTACAATATTATATAGCATACTTTGTTCTAACTCCCTTTAAACAACTCAATCGCCTAGTTAATATTTAAAAACTTTTAAAAAATTCAATACAAATTTGTACAAGAAACGGTTTAAGGGATAGAAATTGATACCATTATCGTTATAATGAACTCTCGATATAGGTACGACTAATTAAAATGAAGTTAATCTCAAAATCAGTCTATATAAAACTCTTTCATTTATTAGTAAAGCTCTTCATGTAATAATGAATTGATGTAATGAGTTTTAAAAACTTTTAGTAAAACTGATTACTATAGCAAGAGCGACCTATGTCGTAAATTTATTAAAAATTGACCTATTTTAAATTAATTCAATTCATTGAGCAACAGGAAAATTTCACAAATCATTTGTAAAATAAGGCTGCTTTTGTAGACCTATTAAAATAAATTTTAGGTGTTCGACTATTAAAATATATAAAAATTTTATTATAAAAGTTTTATCCAATTAGTACAATATAAAAACTTAATAAGATTATTTGCAAAAATAATAGTTACTTTGAAATAGTTCCAATGAAAGGTTTTCAAAAACAATATTCATGCGAACTCTCTAGAACTAAGTAATTATTTGGTATAAACCTTAATACTAAAATCTGTTAAATTGAATCAAGTTTCGATTGAGGGAGATTTAGTATTCAGGCACTGAATTTAAACTAAGCTCAATGTCGGATATCGAACACCTTTATAAATTCGCCCATACAAGCATTAACCAAATTGACTTAAGATAAGCTTTCATTCATTGAATTTTTTATAGTTATTGTATAGGTATGTAGTGCAGTGTATAAAATCAATGTGCACATGTTTTTTTTATCTTTACATATAAAATTTTACCTTGTGCACATTGTGCACATGTTTTGTAATTCAGATTTTATACATTGATGTAGTGAATAGCCTAGTTACACGTGTGTCCATATTCCTTGGCCTTCGGCCACGTGATTTGAATATGAACACGTGTGCAACTAGGTTATTCAATATACTCATACAATAACGTCCAATCCCGTGCCAATAAATAAATGAAAAAAGCATGGGTATGACCTGTGCAATAATTAATTCGGCTATCATCAAGCATTATTCAAAGTTAAAATTTATCTGTTTTAATAATGATTGATTTGATTGTGATAAGATATGATTTGATTATAGACAATTTTATAAATATCGATAAATTTTAATGTAAAAAAAAGCAATAGCTTAATTAAAAATTTAATGTTAGACTAAATATTTATTTCTGTTTTTGAAATTTTAAAAAATTCAATGAACATTCGAAACAACAAACGCTCAAGTTTCAGAGTTTGTGACCAAAAGATGCTCGGTTCCAATCTCTATGTATTTGTTCCAACATCGTAATACAAACTACTAAAAGGAAATAACGTCATTAAAATAACTTATTGATTTTTTTTGTGTTACCGGACAAATAAGTAAATTCTTCCGATTAGTTATTAATTTAATGATGAATGCTAAATATGTTTAAAGAGTTATGCTGATGCGAAATAGATGCGAAATATGAGAGGAATTAATTTGATCCCGAAAACTCCGAGATTTCGTTATCAGATTATCTTACATGAATCACCAGTTAGTTAAATAAACATAAATATAAAGGTGCTTATTGCTCCTATAGTGAAAATATATTAAAAGCAATCCAGGACTTTTCCGATTACGTAACGAATTTGGTAATTACTTTATTTAAATTTGTGTTTGGTCACATTTCAATTCTTTGTATATGAAAATTAATAAAAATAAGAGCATAAAAGATAGTTATCAATCTAATCTATGTGGTTCAAAGTTTAGAACTCAATCAATCTGATTAAAAGGAAATACGTATAAAACCAGCACTGCAATCTTGGTTTTCAAAACCCGTGAATTTTGCATTCAGTAATCCGACAAATTTAACTTGTTTTTAGCATCAAAAATGTCTAATAAAATTGGATCTATTTTATCTTCATACCGAAGGAATGGTCCTAATTGTCAGAATGAAGATAAATTTATCATCCGAAAGACTGATTATGTGCATATGGCATGTGACACGTGCAGAAAAGATCACTGCAAATGTACAGGGCCTCCAAAATGTGTAAGATGCGTGATCCGAAACATTCCATGTATTTTTAAAAGGTCTCGAAAAAAACCTGGACCAAAGCGTAAATTGCATTTACAAAGAAATCTGATAACTACGGAGACCCTTATTCAAACTTTTGCTGATGATACAAAAAAAGATTTAATTAAAGAATTGGCATATCTGTTTAATATTATGGTAGGTGTAGTGATGACAAATATTTTTTGTTACTGTCTGTATTTAAAAATGGAAGATGATTATGATCTGAATATGCTTAAATCCAGATTTAACTATCCAAACGTTTAATCATCAACTGTTTTAATTTGTGAAAAAACAAAATGGGTTAAACTGTATTTTATCATAGGTTGGAGCAAGCCTCTATTCGTTAGAAAGTCCCACGTCAATTCAAAGTGAAGAAGGGGCTGCATCGCCCAAATATGTCTATAATACATTTTATAATATGCCTACTGGAAATTTTGAGATTGATTCATTAGGCTCACGAAATATTCATTCATCAATCAAAGAAGTTGTTGATAATGTCATAAATAAGAATATTACTAAGATACCAGCTGCTTAACTGGTAAATTGCTGCGGGTGATTTCTGAGTTCTGTAGAATGGAGTCAAACTTAAATTGTTTTCTAATGCAGCATTGTCAGTGATTATTCAATATTTAACTAGTCGTGTCTTATTAATCGTTATCTATATCAAACATATCTTTTGTACCCTTCAAGCTGATTAGCGGGCGTTTTTTGAAAAATTATTTGCTTTTGTCCATATGCTGTTTATTTATATGCCTATTTGTTTATTTATTTCATTATTTAGTATTTATTGGTTTTAGATTTAACCCTCTTCAAAGCAAAAATCTATATTACAGTATATTGTAACGCAATTTTACACATTCCATTTTTCTAAATTACTTTAAGTGAATTGAGAATTTTGGGCCTAATCTTTATTTTTTTACTTACTATTATTATATATTTTACTAGCTTTTAGATCTAAATATTACTTTTTTGACCTTTAAATTTAGTAATAAAATCACGAAAAACGATTTGATCCAATTCAAAATGAAAATCGAGTATTCATCATTGAATGTCATATATAATATCATTATTGCCTAAAATAATGTTCCGGGTGTTATTTTAAATACACATATAAGGGATCCAAGAATTAATAATTTAATTTGATCCAATAGAAAAGAATTATTTGGCCCAATTAATTATTAGTTTTCTTTAAATTGTATCCCAGACATTGCATTCTGATTACGTTTTTGCTAAGATTTTAAATCTCACCTTACTTATGAAGTTTAACATATTATGTAATCAATGTACCCGACAATATTACATTGGCTTCCTTGAATACCATTTATTATATGCTATGAATTGGTTTACACCTAGTATTATTATAAACATAATCCCCTGTCGCACTAAGTGTCACTCATGACTACCTTCATCATATTTTTTACACGTGATTAACCATATTTATAATAATCATATTGTGACCGGGAATCTTCCCACGGAAGATTCCCGGTCTCATATTGATCATCG